AAAGTTGCAAGCCAGTTTGTGGTTGTTGAGCTGTGCATGGGATAGAGAGAAAGGTATGGGCTAACTTTTTAGCAATGGGTGCTGTTATTCAAATTGGTAATACAACTGTGGAAGATGCAACATAGTTTTAAAAAAAAGTCTGAAATTCATTTAAACTTGGCACAGTTAGATGTGGTAAAGAGAGGAATAAAAAGGACATAGGTATATAAACTAGAAAAAATAACAATTTTTAAAGATTTTGCACAGTGTTCCACTGGATTTATAATGCGCTAACTGGTAAATTAAAATTGAAATCAATAGCAACTGGTGAAATATTAATTGTGGAGAATTATAAACGTGTTGTAATAACTATTTGAAGAATACGATATTAAAGTTGATTTATTTCTTGTTTCTTTTAAAAATAACTTAACTGACACACTAACTTGATTTTGCAGTTTAGATATTTAAAAAAAGTTGCAAAATGTGTAAGTAGATAGATTAGCACCATTTCTGAGGATGAAATGTGTTTTAAATGTTAAAGAAATTTAAACTTTTGAAGTCCGCAATCAAACATTTATAATAGATTGTGGACTTCAAAAAATGCATTGTGACAACTAATTTCAAGTTCATAAGAAAGTCTTGTCAGTCTTGTCATAGTTTGAACTCCCCTGTATTTTTGTAGTAGTAGTTTTGCAATTGAAGTTTTTATTGATTTATTCAAAGTTTTTAGGAGATACTTTTAAAAAACCTAGAAAAGTATGGTGTTTAAAACAAAAGTTTACTTTGTTTTAAATCATATCGGTGGTTTATAAGTAACCGACTCTCATTAAATATAGATAAAACAAAAACCTGGTGAAGCCGGTAATATTCCTCTCAAACTGCTAAGTCTTTTAATTAATAACATAATGAATAAAAGGGAATCGACTATAGACTATCTTGGATTACTTTTAGATGAAAAATCTAAAAAAATACATTTATGTTATATCAAACAAAATCATTTCTTAACAATGAGTATTTAAAAGATATACTTTTTTTGTTTATACACAGACTTTTTCACTGTAACGTTGTCTGGGGTAGCACTAACTACAAAAAACTAAAAAAAAATTATTTGCAAAAAAAAACATGCATGCAAGATAATATTTGGGCAACAGGAATGCACATTGCGAGCCTCTCTTACGTCAGCTTTAAATATTTATAAGATTAATATTCATCAAGTTATAATTATAGTTATAATTATGCAATTATTATAATTATGCATCAATGTTATTATAATTGTAATTATTATAATTATAATGTTATTATAATATTATTATATTATGTTATAATATTATTTATGTGTTATGGCAAAATGTGGGTTATCTCCTCTAACATTTCAATCTTACTTTAATAAAATCTCTTATAAATATCCTACTAAATTTTCAGAAAACAATTTTCTCATTCCCATAAACCGTCTTAAATTAAGCTTGTACCGAATTCAATATCAGGGACCTTTTGTTTGGAACAATTTTAGTTATTTTTGTAATGCAAAAACAAGACTTCGTTTTAAACTGTACTTCAGTGAGTTTTAAGACTAATTCAAAATAGCATTTACTAAATATGGATTTCAAATATCTTTTTTGAAAGCAATTTAAAATGTTTTAAATTAAATAAATCATTTAAAATTATTTAATTTTGGCTTTTGTTACTGTTTTCATTTTTTGTTTTATGTTTTTGTAATCAGCTATTACATACAATACTTATTTAAATTGCATAATTTTTAATAAAACTTTTTGTGTTTTATCCCTATCGGCACATCTAGTTTCTTTTTCGGAAATAAAACCTATATAGGCACGTGTTTTTCACGATCCAGGAGTAAACCAAAAGCACGTGTATATTACGGGCAGTTTTACTAGAGTTTAACACGTGTTTTTTGAGGTTTTAAAGTCAAATTTAAATGTTGCATGTTTTTATCAGTGGTTTCACATTCCTTACGGAAAGTTATTAAAATATAATACTACGTTTCCATAACGGTGAAACCATTAATACTTTAACTCGTATTTATGGTAAATAGTAATAGTTAATTTCACGGAATAAAAACCATTTAGGATACGTGTTATTCTTTTTGTTTTAGAAGGTTTTAAAAACGCAACAGAAACCAAGCGTTACTATTTTCTGAGTTGTGCCGGCTGGGATAGGTTTCATGATTATGTTACTTTTGTCTTCTTTTTTGTCTATTCCGCTGCAGCGGAATAATTAAAAAAATCACAGCCTTGTTCACAATCTTTCAGCGGGTTGAATCAGTGTTATCAAAAAACTATTTTTTTGCTGAAGTTGTGAATGTACTTATACTGAGTTACGTATCACTTATTAGCTATGCAAAGTTTTATGTAACGTGGGTCGGTAATGAATCAAGTTTGTCTTCTACTTGCTCCGGCCAGGATTTACTATAACTGTAATATCTTCTTTGTAATTCTTAACAAACGGCAAAATAAAAAAATAAAAAAAAAGCGGTATATTGGTACAATAATGACAAAAACGGCGTAAGTCCAATAAAGAAATATATAGTTATCAAACTGCAACAAGGTTTGCCTAATTAGTCCAACACAAAGTATTTTTTAACTGCCCCCAATGCTACACTAACAAAATTAACATAAGGGTACAATGATCCCTCATGCTGCGCAAGTTCTGTAACATTAGGGAGCATTGTCCCTCGTGTTACAGAGTTTTTGTAACATATGGGACAATTAAAAAGAAAAGGTAACATGAGGGACAAAATGTAACATGAGGGACAAAATGTAACATGAGGGTTCCAAATGTAACGTCAGGGATCATTGAAAGGTAGCTACTACTACTCTAAATTTTTACTCAATTTATAATAAAGATTAGAGGTGTACCAGATATTTTTGCTGGATATGCCGGATATAGAACTTTTCTAAAGTCCTATAAGTGTTTATAAAGAAAAAAACAAGTCTTGCCATTCTACATTAAATAGTGTATTAATCCTAATGTTATCCCATATAGATGATAACATTGACATTTGCACACCAGCAACAAACTCAGTTATATATGGCAGCAATGTCATTGGTGTATGACAACATTATCATTAATAAACACATAAAATTGATGGCTTCAATCTTTTTTCTCCAGTTTTTTAAAAAACAGCAACATCCGATCCTAATAATTACAGACCAATTTCACTCACATGCACCATTGATCAAACATTAAAAAAAGTCATTCAACTTGGATATCATTAAGTGTTTAACTCACTATAACCTTATAGCCCATAATCAATATGGTTTTCTCAAGAAACTTGTACAAATCTTTTAGAATCTGTAAATGATTAGAGTATTGCACTAGACAAACATTTAATAACAGAATAACTTCCCATTGCTAGTCGATGTCTTATAGTTAAAAAATATATATATTTTTTTTAAATTTATATGCGCTCAAACCACTGCGACTGTGGTGTTGCGGTTCGAGCACTTGCTTTAGAAGCAAGAGATCTGGGGTTTAAAGCAAGCCTTAGGTATATTTTACGCTATCTGTAAGGAAGGAGGCGTGAATGTATATATATATATATATATATATATATATATATATATATATGTATATATATATATATATATATATATATATATATATATATATATATATATATATATATATATATATATATATATATATATATATATATATATATATATATATATGTATATATATATATATATATATATATATATATATATATATATATATATATATATATATATATATATATATATATATATATATATAAAAGCGGTTTGAGCGCTTGCTTTATATATATATATATATATATTTATATATATATATATATATATATATATATATATGTATATATATATATATATATATATATATATATATATATATATATATAAAAGCGGTTCGAGCGCTTGCTTTATATATATATATATATATATATATATATATATATATATATATATATATATATATATATATATATATATATATAAAAGCGGTTCGAGCGCTTGCTTTATATATATATATATATATATATATATATATATATATATATATATATATATATATATATATATATATATATATATATACATTAGGGTGAAGCAATTTCAAAACTTTGATGTCTTTTGTTGAAAAAAGAACTTTACTTTTTTTTTTAATTTAGATGAGTTTTTGAGGTTCCTCTTTGGATTCTAAATTTTTGATGGATTCTAATATTGTTGAAATTTTTTTTCTTCTAAACTATATTAACCTGGTACTCAAAAGAAGCAGAATATTATGCTGATTTTGAAAACAATATTTGTTTTTATTTAAAAATAAAAGCATTTTTTTCTGCTTTTTTTGAGTCCAAGGTTGATATTGTTTAGGAAAAAAAAATCAAAAATATTAGGACCCGTCCAGAATTTAAAATCTCCAAAGAGGAACCTCAAGATCTCATCATAATCAAAAAATATTTTTTTACTTTCATCTTATATTTAATAGACATCAATTCGTGTCTCAGGAATATTGATTTTTGAATTTTTTTTTTTTTTATTTTGCTATGAAAATCGTTCATAATGGCAATGTTGCATAATTTATTTTGGGCCACTGTGTCCAACAATATGGACTTGCATATCCTTTAGAACATGTATCATTTGTTCTAATAAATACAATCTAATTTAATCTGATAGTTTAAAAAAAAATTATTAAAAATTTTTTTTTAATAACTTTATTTTCATCAAAGTTTAAATATAAATGCATTTTAAATTGGCGTTGTTTTCATTCTGATGAACATAATTTATTATATATTGTATGTCATGTATATTATTGTATTTATTGTATGTCATAAGAGGATTTTGCTCTTTTTTTTATTGTTGTACAAGCAGTCAGTGAAATAACTTTTTTTTAGGCTGAAAGCAAAATTTTGTTTTTTGAATAACAAATGGTTGAATTAAAAAATTCATTGACTACAATCATTTTTTAAATCATTTTTCACTTAATAAGCTATCTTAAAATAATTATCTGAAATTCTATTTTAGATATATAAGAGGTAAATTACACGAGATAACGAAGCAACTTGTCGCTGGCATGTCATACAAAGTTACTTTCGATATCTTTAAATCTTCCTGTAGAAATCCAGACGAAAATAACACGCCAGCAAAGCAGTGTTATATACAGGATTACTCTACGAAGCAACTATGCCAAGCATCTATTTGGTCTCGAGTGTGGATGAAAAGTCCGGATGACTTAATAGTTGATTATAAATGTTAATAACCTCACAGTATTTTCTTCATTTTAGAAAAAAAAATTTCTACTTTACTTTTTTTGGTTTATAAGATTTATGAAATTTATGAAATTTATGAAAGTGTTGCTTTATGTTTTGTATAAAAATTTATAAATGTTACAAATCTTTTTTTAAGTATTCTTGCTTTAAAAATTTTTCCATATTCAATACAGATTTAAAGTTTCATCACTCATTACGTCATCTTCTTAAGGTTTGAGGCTCTTGGAGTGTCAATCCTAAAAGACTTTATAAAATTAGTGCAACGTTGCATGTAGCTACTTCAAAATTTACCATAATATTTTAAGCTGAAATAAATCGTGAATTTAAACTTCCAACCTAACGACGCAGATGTTTAGTAAATGAAAAGTAATTGATTGTTTCTCATTTATTAGCAAATTACATCACATTAGGAATTGCGACAACACATTAGGTATTGCGACATCAAATTAGGAATTGCGACAAAAAATTTTCAATTCATCACTTTTATCAGTTATAATGAAAAAGCAAATAAAAACTGGATGATAGGATTAAGTTAAGAACAAAATTTGATATTTTGCAATGATTGTCTGAGTCTAAATTTTGTTTGTTACGTTTAAGTCTTTTAAGGTAACAAACGAAATCGCGCTTTTTTTGTGAGTGATAAGGGGTCGTCTGTAAAGTACTTACGCCAAAAATTTTGAACTTTGACCCTCTCCCCCTTGTTGCTATGCGTACTTCTAAGTTCTCCCCCCCCTCCCTTCCTCCTCCGTAAAATGTACGTACGTTTTTGAAATACCCCCACCCACCCCAAACTTTTTGTTTCCTATGAAAATGTTTATGGAAAAAAAAGTAGGTAGATGTACCTTAGATACTTTATACAATCCAAAAGCTCTTTGCGGCACAGTGTCCCAATTTAAAAAACGTCTTCAAATATATTCATATACTAATTTTGATCAAGTTAAAAAAATAAATTACACGTTATCTTGGTCGAGCGGTTAATGCTGTGTACTGCGGCGACGGAGACAGATGTTCGATCCCCGATTTTTTTTTTTTTAGGTATAGTTTTTTTTTTTATCAAAAAAAAAATACTATACCTAAGGCGACATTTTTTTCAGGCACCCCTATTTAGTAAGTCTGTAAAAAGCGAGATCAGTAATATCGAAAACAAAACCTAAAGGTCATCCGTTTTTCTATGGTAACGGGATAGGAAAGGAAAAAATATTCACGTGAGCATGCGTAGTTTTACTTCGGACAAATTAAAACTTATAATACGCATGCCAACGTGATTATTTTTCCTTTACCTTTCGCGCTCCCGTGAAAAAACTTTTCTAATTTAAGAAGATTTTTATTTTAGTCCCAAATTAGACTTTTTTTTTTTTTTGGGGGGGGGGGGGAGAGCGGCTTTTAATCCATTAGCCACGGCACTGCTAAAATCTGTTTTTTGTCGACTCAAAAAATAGATTGCCTGAAATACGTCTTCCTCAGGGTCAGTATATAAGGGGTGGCATGTGTGCATGGGCGTCCGCAGGATTTTTTGATGTTCTAAATAGGACACTTTAATGCATTTGGCATAGATATACTTAAGTTTGGAGCTTGCACAAGCTTCAAGCATGTGTGTGCCTATGCCAAATGTGTTAAACTTTGTGCAAGCACTAAAACTTAAGTACGTTTATACTTATGCCAAATGAGAAGGTTTTGCAAAAAATTGAGATGGCAGAGGCCTGGGAACAAAAAGCATTAAAACACTTGCTCCTGCCCAAGCGTGAGGGCACTGATGGAGTCAAATTTCAAATTTACCATCTAAAACTAAAATTAAATTTATCGACAGATTTTAAATTTCGTAGAAAAATATTGTAAATTACAAAAGTTATGACCATACAATATTTACATCCCTCATTTTTTTTTAATTTTTTTTTTTTTTTTTTTGATGGGGGGCCGTTTTAGGGTTTTTATGCTCCCAGGCCTCCGCTTTCTTAATTTTTTGCAAGTCCTCCTCATTTGGCCTCCTCATTTGACTGGAAAATTATCCTTTTCCAGTATGCAATATATATTCATAAAACTGTTTAAGATAATATCGCATACTAGCTATTTTTTAAATGAATGTGTGCTGGCAAAAGATGACCAATTACGTTAAAAAGATGATTAATCATAAATAATTGAATAAATAAATAATTTTCATCTATTTTACTGTATCATACATTTAAGGAGCTTTTTCCTTTTTAACAGAGTTTTCAATCCCCCACCCCCCACCCCACCTCCAACTTTCGCGACCTTCCTACGCCACTGTATATATACATATATATATATATATATATATATATATATATATATATATATATATATATATATATATATATATATATATATATACATATATATATATATATATATATATATATATATATATATATATATATATATATATATATATATATATATATATATATGTATATGTATATATATATATATATATATATATATATATATATATATATATATATATATATATATATATATATATATATATATATATATATATATATATATATATATATATATATATATATATATATATATATATATATATGTATGTATGTGTGTGTGTGTATGTGTGTGTATGTGTGTGTGTATGTGCCTGGGCTAAATGTCACTCAAGCGAGTGGTACAAAAGAATTGTTTATTGTTTAGTAAAAATTTCAAAGGAAGACACTTCCTGTCTTCACTGTCAAGATAATTACTTGACTAGTGTTGAAAGTTACTTTTTTTTATAGTAATTGCCATATTTGCCATATTACTTGTTTGCTGGTTTGGAAAAAGAAGATAGAAGGCTAAGTTTTACTTGTGAACTATGCCTAAAGTCTACAGCATATGTTATTGTTAAAGGTTGGGTTAAGTAAAATTGACATTTTTTATATCTTGAATTAAAAAAGATTAGAATGAGCTACAAAGTTGTTTTTTTTATTGAATGCTTATTAAGTCTAGAACAAAAATATGTATTTTCTTCAGTATGATAAAATTTTCTAATTTTTCTCTTGATGAGAGTCATAAAATTTTGCATTAGGTGAGATCCATACTCTGTGGTGGTTTTATCCCACTTCTTCTCAAAGTCAGTACTTGATTTTGCTTGCATAAACTTGGCTTTAATACTCGCCTAATATTGCTCAATTGGACGAAGTTCAGAACAATTTGCAGGATTGTGTGTTATAGGTATGAAACCAATACTATTGGCATTGCAGAAGTTTAACGTGGGTTTGGAGTATTGATAAGACACTAGATCAGGCCAAAAACTTGCATTACCACTGTGGCTTATTGCCACTGTGGGCGTTCCACAGTGGCAATAATCAGTTTTTAACGCACTCTTTTTGATAGATTTTACTATTTATTGTAGAATTAGTGACGAAACTTTGTGTTTTTAATCCACATTGACATATGGCTTGCCAAACCATAATTTTTTGGGGGGAAATTTTTTAGTTTTATTGTTTTAAATTTAGCCTTTACCTTTTTCCAGGAGACTCCCATATAAAAATGATGTCCTGGAATCGTTTTGAAATTTAATTTCACATAAGTTTCATCATCCATAATTATACATTTTTTTTCTAAAAAATAACTAGTATATTTTTCCTGCACGACTTTTTGCCACTAAATTTCCTTCAGCATTGCGATCTCGGGCAATGCTGAAGGATATTTAGTGTCATAAAATCAAGTCCTTCAGTGATCTTTAAGGACTTGATTTTATGCTTTTTCTTGATAGTCCGAACCATTTGTATGCTAGTTTTGCATTTTAGAATCAAATCTCGCTCAGAAATGTTAGTATTTGCCCTTATTTTCGCCAAAACATTCTTTGTTAATGTTCAAGTTGTTGCCGCTTTCAGGCTTTCTATTTATTGTATTAAGTATCAAATACTTATTAAAAGTTCTAATAACAGTGCTTTTAGAACATCCTACAGTTTTTACAATCGGTTTGAGAGGCAAATTAGGATTTTCCATTCGAGCGTGCAAAATTGCATCACGCACTTATTGCTGTTTTGTTGCCATTTTGAATAATAATAGAACTTTTCCAAAAAAAAATTTGAAATAAAATACTAATACTTAGATAATTAATTATTTTTTTATAAAGATTAATTATTTTTCTGTATGATAACATTGTGTATGATTTTTTGGCGTCCTAATTATAAGTGGGGCAAAATGGTTTTTTTCTAAAGATTTTTAAATACTAAATTTTTTTGTTTAATGCTATTGACTTTTTCTTTTGTCAGATAGTAGTTTGTGTTGTACTTTGACATTTAAAAAAAAAATTAATTATTTTGGCATATGTACATATATATATATATATATATATATATATATATATATATATATATATATATATATATATATATATATATATATATATATATATATATATATATATATATATATATATATATATATATATATATATATATATATATATATACATATATATATATATATATATATATATATATATATATATATATATATATATATATATATATATATATATATATATATATATATATATATAGGTGTTTGTCTTGAAACCACTGCTTGACTACTCGCAGTGTGTTTTGGATTGTTGAACCCATTTTATTGACATATTCCATTCAGCATGAGGTAACATAACATTTTTCAGGATATTTTTATACATGAAACGGTCCATTATTCCATCGTTTCGATGTATTGGACCTAGACCGTTAGCAGAAAAACACCCCCAGACCATTACATTGCCTCCACCATGCTTCACGGTCTTAAGGCAGTAACGTAAATCGAGGCGTTTTCCGGCCGGTCGACGTACACAGCAAATGCCATCTCTCCCAATGATGTTGAACTTCGATTCATCACTGAACATAACAGTTCGCTATTTCTGCACATTCCAGTCAAAATGAGATGAGCAAACAGGAGTCTTTTTTTCTGGTTCTTTAGTGAAATCAGTGGTTTCTTTGCAGGGCGTTGAGAAAACATCCCGGCTTCAACAGCACGTCGTCTGATTGTTCGGTTCGATACAGACAGCTCTAATTGCTTTTATCTTGACTAA